AGAAAAAAAGCATTCTTTAACTTTGGTTGCTGTACATAAAACACATGTGCATCTCTTAGCACCACCACTGACTATTAGTCCAAATCATCTAGGTTTTCATTTGTGTATTTGACTCTATTATACATGTGGCAACACTAAGGTAGGATTCTGATAACCCTGCTGTGAGGAGCAGTAGAACTAGAAGTTGTCAACAACGCCACCTTGGGAATTGCACCCAAGGAAATAGATTACCAGTAGGCTTGAGGTTCGTGACCAAAGAGAACAAGACTTTTCTAAGAAAATCAGTTACATTTTATCGTTTGTTTTCTTCTTTAAAAAAAACTGTCAAAACAAGGAAACACAATAGGAAGGGAGTGTACAGTACTAAGGCCTACCAGCAGGGGGAGGGCGGTCCAAATGAGGCTGACATAAGAAGTAAGAGTGGAAAGACATAAAAAATAGGAACAGGAAGTGACTGGAATCGTTGTGGGGAGCAGACCAGGCATGAGAACACTTAGTGATGTTGATCTGGAGGATCTGGATTTTAGATTAATCTTGAGGGTGCTAGACAGCGCTAAAGCTAGCAGGGGTGTCATAGTCAGTCCAGGGGTCATGCACATAGAGACAGTCCACGGGGCAGAAGGGCTAGACGAGAGGGGATTCTGAAATCTAGATCTGGTAACAGGAGGCACACTAAGCAGTCAGAGCTTTCCAGAGGCAGGAGGCAAAGCTGAGGTCCAGGCTTGGATCCTACATGATTGACAGAACAATTCATACAAGAGCAGAGGCAAACAGACTCGATTGGAGGCAAGGCAGGTCAATCTCAAAACTAGGGATGCTGGATGATGTATTAACAGAAATGGCTTTCAAGAATCTGGCGACTGCCTACTGGGAAAGACAGGAATATATAGTTCCTTCCAGGTGCAGCAACTTTAGGATATTCAATTCAATTCAGTTTATTTCTATAGCACCAATTCACAACACATGTCATCTCAAGGCACTTTACAGTTCAACCAGATCATACAGTCATATATATATATAGGAGGATAAAGGAGCTGCCTCAGGTGTGCTGCTCACCTGATTATCAGTGCAGCAGAGGAAGAAGGAAGTGACGCTGTGAGACTGAAAACTTCAGCTTCTCAGGCAGAAAAACAGGAATCATTACAGATGAGCTTCCTATGAGTGGTCAGTGGAACTGGAGAAGAACTCTATAAATTAGTTCATCTACTGTTTGCTGTATCTCGGTCACATTGCTGCTTATAAACCTGTGTTCTTTTCTAATGCTGCAAGAATCTTTGACCTCCAGTTGGTCCCTATCGTTACCCTGTTTTAAATGTAATACCTATTGAATATTTCTTTCCCCTTTTAATTAACTATTTTGACCCATTTGGCCTTCTGTATGGCTTTCCCTCACTATGCATTGCTGCAGTTGATTAGCTGGACGTTTTAAGTCCTTCTCACTCCTGATTCACATCCAGCACGCTAGTCTTAGTTTCATCGCTTTAATTCTACCTTTGATTACTCATGCCCTGCTGTTAATTTCAGCAAAAGGCTAAAAAAAAAAACATATGTAAGCATCTACTTCTGGATTACAGTGAGGGTCACATGTGACTAATACTTTCCCAAAACTGGTCAGTATGAAAGTTAGTTTTGTTTCAATTAAGCTAATTTTTCATTCTGGTCTGTTGGTATTTAAAAAAATAATCAGTTTCATCCAGACAATTAATGTCTTTGTGGTTGGACTCTTTGTGGTGTGCTGCCCCAACTTGTTGTTCACCACAAACTAAAATAAATAGTTTTTAAGATGATGCAAAGTTAAATGTGACACTGTAAGCATTAGTTATGAAACTAAGCAAATAAAGTCTAAGGAAGTTATCATCCAGAATTGTAGAGAAATGTTCCTTTAATGCAGTAAAGATTCTTTCCTTAACAATTTTTCCTGCATTACTTTTACTTTTATATTTTAAGTAGTTTTTAAAGTGGTACTTTTAGACATTTACTGAAGTAAAAGGCTGAAGTTGATCCTCTACCATCTACAAAAGTGTTTTTAAACTTCTACTGCAGTAATAAACATGAATTATTTGGACAGCTCTGTTAACATCCCACATAATGTAGAGATGAAAACCAAAAATAAAGGATGTTTTATTTAGATATTTTACATGTCTAATTTAAAAAAACGGACCAGGGAAGAAGGATAATTACGAGCACAAATACCTAAAGACTCTAAACCTATAGCCCTGCAAACATATTCAACTTATATTACAAAATGAATGTAAAGTATAAAGAATGATAATTGTGCTATGAACTGTCTTCTTTTAATGAATACTTGCCCATTAGCTTTGCTTCTGCTTGTTATATAACTGATCTTTAACGCTTTATAATAATCAACCGGTCAGTATGAAATCAAATCAGTTGTGGAACCAATTCACACTTTCAAGGTTTCTATCTGAGGATAACCTGCTGATTGCATCCATTCATTGACTTTGCTGGATTCTCTCCTCCTGGATGAGCAGGTAGAGACAGTAGATATTGGCTCTGCAGCAATCCCTCACACCGAGCATGCATGCAGCAACAGTGGAGAGGAAAACAGTCCTTTTTCCCAGGAGGGAACCTCTAGCAGAGCCAGAAACAAAACCATGCTCAGTGTGAGCAGCCATCTGCCATGACACACTGAGGTTTGTCCACCCTTCCACTCTGAGGTCCAATAGTGACAGCTTTGGTCTTCCTCTGCAAATGTTCCACAATCTCCTGAAAATGCACAGATTGAACTGACACGCGTTGTTACAAACCGAAAGGCGTTTAATTGAACTGGATGAACTGGCCTATCAGCACAGGTGTAACATTCTGAAAGACTGGTGGGGACAGCGCCCACCAATAATTTCCTCTCTGTTTTCCTCTTTCCGCTTATTTATTTTAGCCAATCAGAGTTGGGAGCAGCTAACTGTGTTCAGAGTGTTTTAAGTCCTTGTTTTTTTTCCTCTGTCCCGACGGTAACATC